ATTTAAACTGTTAAGCTGAAATGTAAAAACCCTCTGTGGCTTCAGTTTGTAAATGTTTAAACAAAGACATCTCAGTTTTAGTCTTAGTTTTTAAGTTAAAGGCGTTCATTTTATTTTGTAAACTTGAAAACAAGAACAATTTTTTTTTTTATGAAATGATGTGATTATGTGCAGAAGGTATTCCCGTATATGAAGTTAATATCCAGATTTTCTCTCTGCTCTCTGAGGAAATTATGCTTTTTCTTTTGGAGAAAGTGAAACAAAAATATTATTTTTTTGTCAGTTGGAGTTTCTCCCAATTTTTAATTTCTAAGTTTCTAAGAATATTTGGATAAATTAAAAAGAGAAGTTCGCTCATATTCAGAATTCAAACTTCTAAAAGTTCTTTAAATCTGAAATGATTCCATCCTTTTCAATAAATGATCAGTGTTTTTAATTCAGTCATTTTCCTGTGAATGTGCTCTACTGGAGGCATCCATGTTTGTCAAAGAACACTACTGCCACCTACTGGTTAGTGACGTCACGGTGCGGTATCGGCTGTTGATCAAGTCCCAGTGCTGTATCTGGTGTTTGTCACAACGCGCTATTATCCAAGTCATCTTGAAAACATTCTTCTTCCAAATGTTGGCTACATATTACGGGTTTTTTCTCTGGCCAGAAGTTCGATGGCAAATCCTCCCTCTTCAAGTTGGCGATCCAACGACCAACCCGTCCGTGGAGGATCAGGAATCAGAAAGGTGGAATAACTCTTTTTTTATTCACTTTTACCCGATGTATTCCAGCATCCAGCTGCCATGCACGTGGGCATTGTCAGTTTCACTATAGCTCTGGTGAATTTCAATGGTGAAGTCCTCTGGAAATCTTCAATTATTGTTGTTGATTGCAGATGTGTCTAGTAGTTCCCATTGATTTAGCTTGGAAAGCGGGGAGAATGGCGCTAGGCTTACCGCACCGTGACGTCACTGCTGGAAGATGGCAGGAGGGAGGGGCTACTAGATTAGGGCAAAAATGGCCGCTCCCAGACGCAGTGATCATGACGAAAATTATTAATTCATTAAATCAAGGCAAACATATTAGTTTTAGGTATAAATAATGATCCATTGATTATTCCTGCTGAACTGACTTTTCCTTTAAGGAAAAGTACTTTGAGTATCTTAAGAAGAACACATTATGCTTTTAAAAAGCGCCAGAATGTATATTAATTCTTTCAGAAAAGCCAGCGTGAGACATTATTTACACAAATCATTACAAATATTTTTCCACAGATGATTTTTTTAATACTAAGGAAAATTACCCATTTTAAATTGGACATATTTTTAGCTTTTATTTTTTTTTTTTAATTACTATTCTGTAAATTAAAATCAAAGAAAGTAATTTACTAAAGCAGCGTGAGCAGGTGAGCAGTTAAACTGTTTAAAATGGGAATGAAATCCTAGTAAATGTGATGCATGAAGGAGGCCAGACCTCTGCTCTCTGACTCTCAGCACTAATACTTGTGTCCCTGGATGGATTCAAATGCTCTGACAAAGTGGAACAGACACCCGTGTCTAAATGGAGGGGTGGCTGTTAAAGTACATGCCACCTCTCCTGATCCCAGCATTCGTTAGGATGGTTGCAGCCAGAAAGCGACCAGCCAAGACAATTAATTCAACGACATGCGACATGTAATCCCAGTCGATTCCCAGGGACCAACTCAAACTCCCACCCAAGTCACAGTCCCCCTCCTACTGCTGAAACTGCTAGAGGTCAAGTAGCTGCTGCAGCTGATTGTTGTTGGCAACAAGACAAATGGGTCCATGCATAATAGTTTACAGATTTTAAGGATTTAAAACATTCTAGTTTTTCCTCTTTGAGTAAAACAAGTAACTTTCAGAGAATCTAGTCTGTCTGCAGAAAGTAAAGGTTGCAATAAATCTGTTCAGCTAACCTGTGTTTGGATTATTATTCTTATTAATGATGTATGATTCTGTTAAACCCTAATAATACCCGCCTGTCAGAACTCAGGCTTTCCCAAGTAGTTTATTTAATTAGGACAGTTCCTCCGTCTGACTATACAGTTATCATCTTCATTATGTATGCGGTAAAGATTTGGGAATGGAATAAGATCGGTGTCTCTGATCAAAGAACAAAGTGTAAGATTTTGATAAAGCTGGAGCCATGGATTCCTCGTCATCTGCAAACGTGTGTGACGTAATGATGTAATGAACTGATGACAAGATGATGGAATGATTTGATGATGTAATAATGTGCTGATGTAATGATGTGTTGATCTAAAGATGTAATGATTTGGTGACGTAATTATATTATTATTTGATGATGTCAAGATTTAATAATGTGATGATGTATTGACGTAATGATTTGATGATGTGTTGATGTGATGATTAGGGGTGTAAATATTAATCGTTTTGTATCGATGCATCGATCCAACAGCTGACGATCCGATGTGTCGACACGTCCGCCACAGAATCGATTTATGTTTTTTTCCTCCGGTCTATTTTTATCCATTTGCTCCTGGGTGTAATTCTCCTCCCGTGCTGCGGTGGCGCTACACCTATTTTGCCCTCCTACCGCGCTTCCTGGTTATACTCTTACAGCAGTGTGTTGCAGTGAGCTTGATGCAGACATTTTTGATTTATGCTCAATATTGAAGCGTGGTCTGTGCTACACGCTGTGGGTCTAGATACGGCCGAGGCGGCGAGGAAGTGGGGGCGAGTTTAGTCCGACGACGGAGGGACATGAGGGCCAAAAAGAGCGGAGATCCAGGTGGAAAAAGGGTCCCAGCGTTCTCGCGCACCGCGCTCTTCTAGTGGGTCAAACTTCACGAGTTGTTTTCTGCAATTTTGGTCATAAAAACAAACCAAGCCGGCCTCCTGTCTGCGGTCAGCTACAATCTGGGAGAGGAGCAGCGGAGCGTCTGTGGAGGGGGCGGGACGTCTGGAGCCAAGGTATTGCATTGCACTCATTGCACTGATTTTGTGCAGTATTTTTTGATGCAAAGTCTTTCAGAATCTATAACGCAGGGGTATTATTATTTTTCAATGAATGAGGTTTTAATGGGAATCGGTGGAGTGCAACTTTTCTGCTTCTGTTATTTGCTGTTGTTTCTAAAAAAAAAATGAATAATGATATTGCAGCTTTCATTGATTTATTTCAACTTTGAAACATTGTCTAGCCTGTAAGGTGTAAAAAAAAAGAACCAATTAATCGAATCGAATTGTGGTGTATTCTTGAGTATCGAAAATAATCGAATCGTTGGGTCAGGAAATCGATACTGAATCGAATTCCCATGATGGGTGTGATTTACGCCCCTAGTGATGATGTAATGATGGGATGATGTGACGATGTGGCAGACTGGAGATGTATAAAATTCTTCTTTTAACTGATAATCGGGGCCACTTGAGGAGAATTGAGCCCAGTTGGTGAGCAGCTGCCTTCTGTAACTTTAAGCAACTTCTCTGATCTGAGTAAGATTATAATTTCTATCAGAATCTGTTGTCATGTCTCCTGGTTATTCAATACATAAACATCATAAAGTGTTATTTAAAGAGTTTGTCCCAAGTGATCTCTTCTTAGGAAAAGAACTGGACAGATAAAGCTTGAAGGTGGAAACAGAGCCTTCCTTAACATCTATCTGTTGGGATCTGGAGGTCTGTCCACTTTCTCCACCAGAGGGCGTATGAGATCTCCTGGAGCCTGAGCCGACCACACCACCTGTTCCTCATCTGCTCATCAGGAGATCCGTACTTAAGGAGGTGGAGGGCTTCATTCCAGTGCCAGAGTGTTTGCCAGTAACGGTTAGCAAGCCTGAGCCAACCAGCCTGTTTGTAACTCTGACCCCCTGAGATCCGAACCTGATCTGTTTTCTCTCCTCTCTGCTCCTCGGATTGAACCTGCCTGAAACCTGAAACTCTGGAGAGTTTCTCTGCTGGTAATCTGCCTGTCCGTTCTCAGAAATTCTCTGGAGAACAGTTTCTGTCAAAGATCTGCCTGCCCGCTCTCAGAAGATGACCGGTAACTCAATCAGTGATCTGCCTGCACTCAGTAAGCTCTGCCTCCGCCTCTGCCCTCTGCCTGCCTCTAACTTAACCTGATCCATGATTGCACATTTATTGTTCAATAAACCTTTTGAACTTTTTCTTCTGCCTCCGAGTGTTCTGCATGTGGGTTAGGCAAATTAAGCCGAACATGACACTATCCCACTGAGCAAAAAATGGTTAAAAAGACATAGAAAAAGATGACATGATTTATGTCCAAACTTGAATCTGATTGACAAATGAAAGGTGGAAAGACATCATTTTTTTTTGTTCATTGAAAGACGTTAAAAACTGGGTTTTGCAACATCTTTTCAGCATCTGTTTTTGGACTAAAGTGGTGCTAAATCAGTCTGACCAAATACAGCCCAATTTTCAACTAATATTTCTGGACTATATAAAGTTTATGACAGATTGACCAGATTTACGTCTGATGTTTGGGGGGGGGGGACATTTATTTCGGATTCCACTACAAATGTCAACCAAACTGATGAATGCATAAACTTTTTTATAGATTTTTAGGGCAGCTTCCTTCAGTCCATTTAATTGCTTTCTATAAAATTGTGAAGCAGGCTTGCGGGGCTTTGCAAAGTTCTTTTTAACTTATTTCTAGAAATCAGTGGAGTAGAACGCCGGGCCTAACACATTGCCTGTTTGCTGTGACTGAAATCTAAAAGCTTGTTGACTCTCAGCGTGTCTCCTGTGGATGCCACAGCCACCAGTTAAATCCAGCATGACTAGAAAAGTAGAGTCAATTAGAGCAAAATGAGCCTATCTGAAATCTGTGTTTGAGCCTGGTAGCTCATTACAATCCTCCCATCCTTTATGCATGTGCTGCATTTGAAGCGCATGGGAGGCAGATGAAAGCAGAGACAACATATTTTGATGTTGATTGAGTGCTGAAGCCTTTAGCTCTTCCTAATGTGTTCCCGGTAAGGAGCGGCGGCGGCGGCTGAGGGATGCACTCACTTGTTTTGGTGCTTGGAGCCCTGGAGATGTGCGTGGTACTGTGCCACCGAGTTGAGTGTGACGCTGCACACTTCGCAGGTGTAGCTTCGCTTCAGGCCTGGAACCAAACACAAACACAAGAAATGAATCAATTCACAAAACACACACAGGCTGCTTTCCATCCTTCATTATACCGAAGTGACATGTTTTAAATCATGATATGGAAATCTGACTTCCACTCTCTTCCACTCGGTCAGTATATCATCTATGCATCAGAGCCTGGCACCTTTTCTTCAGGAAAAATATGAGAGAAAAGATTGATTTATGCAAATAGCTTTTTTATTTTGCAGGTGAATTTTCCCCTTTCACAGGCTGCTGGCGATGAAGCGGAAAAATCTATTAGATCTTTACGTACAGTTAATTAAAGTCTCCCCCAAAAAGTGGCTTTTTTTCTTTTTAAATGTGAGATTGAGATTAAGGTATTTCTGTCTCTCCCACTCCTTTAGAAGTGCTTTGAATTCACCAACAGTCATCAGTTTTCTCATCATTGAGTCTTTCTGGAATTCCTTCACTGCAGAGATGGTGGATATTTAAAAGCCTTCGTCCCCATTTCAGGTCTGATACTTGGAACAGTCAGAGGATGAAAGGACAAAGAATCTAGTCCATCGGTTTTCAAAGTGTGCGGCGCGCCTCCCCTAGGCAGTGGCACGGGAAGGGGGGTGCTGCGGGGGCTGCAGCCTCCCTCGTCATAGCATCAGCCCCCCATGGTGGGGGCTGTGGAGTAACATAATATTGTACTTAAAAACATGAAATTATTTATGTATTTATTTTTTAAAAGACTGTGTTTGATATGGGATAAAAATGATGGGCTGTGTATAAGATATAAACTAATGATTCATTATTTTAATATTTCATAAAAAACTAGGCTACTCCCCCGGAAGCTTCCGCCACCTCACATTCATGGCTTGGCTAGCAATAGGCAGCAGAAACGTATTTCTGACTATTCCGAGGTAAGAAATGGTTTTAATTCCCCTATACTGCCGCCGAGCATTTATTTAGCGTTATTTATTTCTTATTTATTTCTATATGCTGTGCCTATTTGTCGTAGTCCTGTGGCTGAAGAAGTCTACGCTAGAATAAGGATGCATATCACTAAATGTTATGTCTGTATTAAGCTATTTAGTGATAAAATATGAAATTAGTTTGTTTTTTTTGTGTGTTTTTTGTTTCAGATATGAAATCATTCCCCATATCCATAGTCGAATGGACTTTCAAGACGTTCAATGCTCAGTTTAGGCGATATTTAGGCCATGTTTCATTCAAGTATTCCTGATCCTGTTGATTGGGAGCTGTTGTTTGTTTTGAATGATTAAAAGAGAAGAAATAAAGTGTTAATAATGTTCATGCTTTGTTCCGATTTATTTTAAATGGCAGTTCTTGGCGACAAATGTAGGCCTACAATATTATGTTAAAAACGTCAGCCACAGCCCTCAACATAATGATGTCATGTGTTTTCCAACCCAGCCATCAGCCCCCCTCGCTTGAAACAGCTTCCAGCGCGCCTCCCCTAGGGGGCGCCGCAAGAGCATCTTAGGGGAGGCGTGGTGAGAGGGAAAAAATAAATATGGATTTAGGACAAAGTTGGAACTGTGGGGTGCGCGTGTGGAGTGGGGAACAGTGGAAATGTTTCCCATCTTAGAGGATGTTTTGGTCAGAGCGGGGCTGAAGGTGGAGTTTTTACAGCAGGCTGTCTGCGCGCATTTGGAGGGGATGCGCAAACAGTTTGGAGAGTATTTTGGAGAGGAGACAATGGGCAGTGGGTGAGAAACCCATTTTCCTTCCCCGTGACACTCAAAGATGGACTTTCAGCAGGAGAGGAAGATGCTCTGGCTGAGCTGAGCTGTGACATTGACTTGAAACAGAGGATGAGTGACGTGTCACTTGTGCACTTTTGGCTGTCAGTAGGGACTGAATTTCCACAGCTCTCAATGAAGATCTGATCAAAAATAAGATGTGAAAACACTGTTGGTATCTCAAACATTAAATTCAGAATCTCAGATGTAACGTTTGTTGGAGAAAACAGTTGAAAAGTGAGTTTGGGGTTGACTACTCACAGTCCAGCAGAAGAAAATTAATTAAATTATATCTGAGAAAAAAAAAAAAAGCTGAAAAAAAAAAAACAGGACTTGTTGTAACCCAGGTGTAAATCCCAGTGATTAAATCTGTGTATTTTTTTTACTTCCATCCCGTCATTACTGCACAGCCAATTGCTGTTGAGTATCAGGGTCACATGTACCACAGCCTATCATCTAGGTGGGGAAGTATGAAAGATTAAGGCATGCTGGGAGAAGCAGAGCTGCAGGAGCTAACTACTTAGCCGAGGTGAGATGGGAAAAAAACCTATTTATGTGAGACAACAAACTACGGAATTGGCCAGGTGTTGTCGTGAGACCATCCTGATCTCGCGAGCTTTCAAGATTTCACTGGCTAATCAGTCTGGAGACTCTCCGTTAAAGAAAATTTGGAGCCGTTCACCAAACGAACGTCCAATCAGCGTTGGCTTTGAGGCGGGTTGAGGTGTGACGCAGCGAGAAGCGCGACAGTTCAGTCTAAAGAACATGGCGGCTTCAGCCGGTGAAACTAGCGTTAACGTGGCTATCCAGCAAGTTTTATCGGAATTACAGAGTATTTCTTCAGTGAAAGAAGAGCAAAACACTGCTCTGGAGGCTTTTCTCAGAGGAAAAGATGTTTTTGCTCTTCTCCCGACTGGTTTCGGCAAGAGTTTGATCTATCAATTGGCTCCTCTTCGTCTTCGCTCTGTTAGTCCGTCATATGCTTCGTTGATCTGATTGGTTTATTTGGCCCGTCTATCACCAGCATACGCCAATCAGCTAACCAGTATTTTTGCCCCTTCCCAAAATTACTTCAACGGAAGGTTTCCAGATGGATATGCGGAGCAAATCCATCTGGCAGAGTCAGGTTAGAAGGTCCAGGCCTAGAGCCCATAAAGATTGCACTTTGGGTGCATGAAGACTTTAGATCTCCTGCCAGGCTGGTAGGAGGCTCCTTGCAGCCAACGAACGATTTGTTTCCACTCTGCTCTGACTTTTGTCAGTCCATGACCTGCACGGCACCAAGCACTTTAAAAGGAACTTGCTTGGGACCGTTAATCAACCCCAGCTTGGGGTGAATGACCTGAAGGGATGTGGTTTCATGAATTGTGGAATTGATTAATTTTGTTTAGTTTTTTTTCTCTTTATTGCTTTTTTTATGGCCATTTGGATGTTTCATTGATGTTGAAAATATGTATATAATTTTCCTCACTATAAATACAAGGCACTCGCAACTACAAACTTCTGGTCTCTGTCTGCTGTTTCATGAGTCGTATCTATCTTCTGAGAACTAGTCTATTGACCTTATTGGTTATGATCCATTTGCATTGATTTAAAATATATTATACTGTTGTTTTTGTACAGATATGCTACATTGTTCTTTTACAAATCAAAAAGTTGGATTTCGCATTTTGTGAATTTCTGATCAGGAAGTTCAGCTGATCCAAAATGCTGCAGCCAGAGTTCTGATGAAAATGAAAAAGAGAGATCATATCTCTCCTATCCTGGCTTCTAATCATTGGCTTCCTGTTAAATCCAGAATAGAATTTAAAATCCTCCTTCTCACATATAAAGCCTTAAATGGCCAAGCTCCATCTGATATCAGAGATCTGATTGTTCCTTATGTTCCTAACAGAGCACTTCGCTCTCAATCTGCAGGTTTACTAGTGGTTCCTAGAATTTCTAAAAGTAGAATGGGAGGCAGATCTTTTAGTTATCAGGCTCCTCTCCTGTGGAACCAACTACCAGTTTTAGTCCGTGAGGCAGACACCCTGTCTACTTTTAAGGCTAGGCTTAAAACTTTCCTTTTTGATAAAGCTTCTAGTTAGAGTGGCTCAGGTTATCCTGAGCTATCTCTATAGTTCTGCTGCTATAGGCTTAGACTGCTGGAGGACATAGGGACCCCTTTTTCATCATTCTGCTTCATTCTATCTCTATTCTCCCACTCTGCAGAATCTGTAACCTCTGTTTTTCTCATCATAATAGCTTTATTTGGCCTGGTTCTTTCTAGCTGTGACTCCATATCAGCTGTGCTGATGCCTATGACCACAGTGTTTTTCAGTATTTACTCCTGTATCTCTCAGATATACAGTAACTAACTATTGCTGTATTTCAACCAACAAAAAAAATTAAATTGAACGCCTGCTACATGCCGACTCCTGTTTGGACAAGTTTGTTTAATGCAGCACTGGTTGTTAGCAGTGGGCATTACACAACATGGTGGGAGGGGGTACACTTAAAAAAATAGACTTTTTAGTGCCGTAAATATATATTAGCATAACATAAATAATTTGTACTTTATTTAGTACACAAAATATAAGGGAAGAGCAAGTTTAAAATACAGTTTAGATGTTAATTTCTATGAACATATACCTACAAACGCTACATAAACTTAGTTGATAATGTTGCATTTTAAAACACATGTGCACTGTAGCCCACAACTGGACCTGGTTCTGCTTCTAGTCCAGAACTTTCTGCACTGTAGCACCCACAAAATCGACTGAGAGGTAAGTTATTATTGTTCTATTTTAAATTTGTGATAATCACTAGGTCTGCATGTAGTTTGATTCAACATTTGCTATTGTTAATAAGTTTATAAACTGACGTAGAACATTTGTTACTGTAAAACCTTTGGGGGCAAAAAGAAAGCAGTATAAGTGAATTAATGGTGTGCATTGAGAATGAACTGGGAAGCGATTAAGGCCTTGGAGAAATGCCTCAGGATTGTTTTTTTTATAACACAGGTTTACTAGCATTCACTAGCAATAAAACAATATATGTGACAATTTGTTGTCATGACGATGTCGTGTTGTTTACCTGACCAACATTTCTGGCATGTCACTGACAGCCACCTGTCTGACTGCACATCAATGTGGAATGTAAATGGTTACCAACAGAACACTGGTAAACTCTATAGGCGAATAATATGGCTGAAACCGAAATATCCGTTAAGGCAGAGCGACGCTGGAGTCCGAGATATAATCCTGCAGCATCATTATGTGTTTTT